TAAATCACAAAGAGCTGCTAATCTTCCTTGGACTTCCTTTCAATCAATCCACACAAATGAATGACAGAGGATGCTTTAACCTTCCCATAATTTGCATTTGTGTTTTGAGTGAAGGATGTTTTTTTTTTTTAAATATTTATTTATTTTTTAGTTCTTGGCGGACACAACATCTTTGTATGTGGTGCTGAGGATGGAACCTGGGCCGCACGCATGCCAGGCGAGCGCGCTACCGCTTGAGCCACATCTCCAGCCCCAGAGTGAAGGATGTTTATCACCTACTTGAGCATTCATTTGTGAGAGGTGGGGGTGGAGGTCAGCATACTGGAGACCAGCTCTGGGAGTTAGTCTCTAAGTGGTTCCAGCTTTCCAAAGCTTCTTTCCTTTTTTGAGTTTTTTACAACAAAGAGTAAGCAAGAAGGGTCTGCAGGAGTGGGTGGGTGGTTCATTTTTTGGAGTCTGATTATCATCTTAGCACCCTACAGCAGGGGCATGGAAGTGGAAAAGAAGCAAACCATCTGGCCCCAGATTCTGTAGGTCCAGAGTGGGCTTCAGAAACTATATTTTATATTTTTGCAATGCTGGGGCTCAACTCCAGGGCCTTGTACATGCAAGGCAGGCACCAAGCTACACCACCAGTCCTTACTTTTAAAGTTTAGATAATTATACTTCAGCTATATCATTTCCTATAGGATAGTTAACGTATTAAAGAGGAAAAGGTGATATGACTGCATTTTATTTTAGGTGCTGGGAATAAATTCAGGGCCTTGGACATGCAAAGCATCTGCTTTACCACTGAGATATCACTGCCCCCAGCCTAATTTCATTTTCATTATACAGTCTTTTCCAGTCTTTCCTTGGTGGGTGGGAGTTGAAGGGGTAGATATGAATAATGTAGAAAGTCCCTTCTGCCAAGATAGAGAAATCATTTGGATTTCCCCTTACCCAGTCAGATACTTTACATCTGCAGATAATGAAAATTGAGATAGTAAGTACAGACTTTTTGTCACTAGCATAGCATAGAGGATTTAAACAAAAGTAAATATGGGAGGCTGGGGTTGTAGCTTAGTGGTTGAGCACTTGCCTGGCATGCATGAGGCACTGGGTTTGATCCTCGGCACCACATAAAATAAATAAATAAAACAAAGATATTGTGTCCACCTACAACAACAACAAAAACAGATAAAAAAAAAAGTAAATATGGACCGGCAGGATGGCACACACCTGTAATCCCAGCAGTTTGGGAGGCTGAGGCAGGAGGACCCAGAGTTCAAAGCCAGCCTCAGCAACAGCAAGGCGCTAAGCAACTCAGTGAGACCCTGTCTCTAAATACAATATAAAATAGGGCTGAGGATGTAGCTCAGTGGTTGAGTGCCCCTGAATTCAATCCCCCAGCACCAAAAAAAAAAAAAAGGTAAACATGGTTCAATAGTTTTCTTTTTCCTAATTTCAGTTATAAAACAATGGAAACAAAGATGTTTTAAAAAACATTAAATTTGGCCAGGTGCAGTGGCACACACCTGTAATCCCAGGTACTTGGGAGGCTGAAGCAGGAGGATCACAAGTTTGAGGCCAGCCTCAGCAATTTAGCAGGACCCTCAGCATTGTAGCAAGACCTGTTTCAAAATAAAAAAATAAAAAGGACTTGGGATGTAGCTCAATGGTAAAGTGCCCCTGGGTTCAATCCCCTGTTCTACCAAAAAAAGTTGGGGGGTGTGGTGTTAAGTTTAATGTCCAATTCACTGAAATTTATATAATAGCTGCCTTGTTTGTGTCTTCCCTAATTCATTTACTTCTATTCTATGACTCAGGTTCCTTATAATGCAGTGGTTAGGCACTAATTTTGCCCTTATAGGTGGGTATTCCCACATGCAAATGTGTTTTCCTAAGTCCATTTCCTTAGCAAATCCACTTACCTCAGATGTAGCATTTTCCATCTTGGAACTTGAGCCAGAGGGGAAAAGTGACCTTAAAATATGCCAGAACTAGCTGGGCACAGTGGCACATGCTTGTAACACCAGTGACTCAGAAGGCTGAGGCAGAACGATCACAACAAGTTCAAAGCCAGCCTCAACAACAACTTAGTGAAGCCCTAAGCAACTTAGCAAGAAGTATCAAAAAAAAAAAAAAAGGACTAGGGTTGTGGCTCAGTGGTTAAGTGCCTCTGGGTTCAATCCCTGGTACCAAGTCCTCTTCCCCACCCCCCCAAAAATAACAAGCCCCCAAATGGTAATACTGAACTAATGTCAATGCTGGTTTCTGGTTCATTTCAGCTAGATACCCTCTTTGAGGGTTCTAAAATCAGCAGGAGTTAATAAATTCACAGTAGTCAAAGTTTGTGGTGAAGGAAAAAAAAAAAAAAGAGCATTGAGATCATATCCCTTCTCTCTATCAATATAGAGATCCTGCCACTACATGATTCTTCTGGCAACTCAGAAAAGACACCAGAGGTAACCCTCAGGATGTTCTGAGGGACTCAGGCTGTGAAAGAATAACAAGGTTCAAGTATAAAAGTTCATGAAGGGCTGGGGATGTGGCTCAAGCGGTGGCACGCTCGCATGGCATGTGTGCGGCCCGGGTTCGATCCTCAGCACCACATACAAACAGAGATGTTGTGCCCGCCGAGAACTAAAAAATTCTCTCTCTCTCGCTCTCTCCCTTTCTCACTCTCTCTTTAAAAAAAAAAATAAAAAAATAATAAAAGTTCATTAAGGAAAAACAAAAATACTTCATGCCTGCTTCCCAGCTCTCATCGCCCCACCCAAGGCTAGTATAAAAAAAAGGGTCCAGGTCAGTCAGACATTTTCATTCTGCTTTAGTTATTTTGTTAGAAGTATGCCTAAAAGTCTGCAGATGAGCTGAAAATGTCCTTAAGAAGCATGTTACATACAGGTCTATCTAGCATTGATAATACTGTGAAAGCCACCTTGGGAAAGAAAACACTGTGTCGAAGAAAAAAAATCTCTGGTATAAATGTAATTTGCCGTCATTTCTAATTTTTAAAAAATATTTATCTAAAAATCATACTAGAAGTGAGTTTTGTCAATAACAGCACACCATGGTGAACTGAACTTGGCCTAACAACCAGCATAAAATTTTCAACCCATCTTGGATTAGCAAAAATTAAAAGTATAAATAAAAACAAAATAAAAGAAATACTATAAAAGGAAAAACAAAGACAAAAGTTGAATTTACTGTGAAAAATCTGATTTTATTTTCTGAATCAAAAAGAAGTGTATTTGTGTTAAATTTAGAATGTTTAGTTTTTCCATTCATTTTTCAAAATACTTCCCAGACAGTGCTCAGAACTGTGTAAAAGTTACCATCCAATACCATGTTTTCTAAGAAACCTTTTCTTCAAGGCATTGGCAATTCTAATTTTAAAGTAAAAGAATTTAACTACTATTAGAAATCTCAGTGACAATGAGTTTCAAGAGCTAAATCAGATTTCTTTTAAAACAGAATTAAAAAAAAAAAAATTCTGAGGGACTCACACCTGACAACTCCAATGAAACATAATACCTCCCAACGTCCAAACTATTAAATGCATCACTTCAATAAGATAGGAAAATTATAAAATGGAATTTTATTGTATGTGTGTGTATATGTACACACACACACGTATATATAAATACACCATTTTAACTGTCATGTTTGGTAGCAGAATCATGAAATAAAAACAAAATCTACATTCAAGGGACAATTTCGTAAATACTCTTTTTGTTACTTAAGAGTCCATCCTATTCTTTGTTGTTTTCTATTCCTGTATTTTCAAATCATGACCAAAGGCCAAGAGTCGATCTGAACTGAACAGTCAGTAGGTTCTACTGTTCCTACATACAGTAGGATGGAGCATTTCTAAAAAAAAAAAAAAAAAAAAAAAATATTTACGAATACTTGAGAATTCAAATCCACTCTGAAAGCCACATCCCAAAATCTAGTAGACATTCTTCAAGGGCTGTTCATAGGTACTAAAGCATGTCCAGCATGCACACAAACTTACTTGTTCAAACTGAAGTAAATCAGTGAATAATACAACAGAAGTTGCATAATTAAGACTAACCTCCTTTTGTTGCTTTTTCCACAAACTTTTAAATTTTCTCATAAAAAAAGAGAGCCAATTTTTCTGATTTCAGCCACCAAAAAATTAAGCCATTTCTTGGGGCTGGGGATATAGCTCGCCAGTTGAGTGCTTGCCTTGCATGCACAAGGTCCTTGGTTCAATCCCCAGCACAGAAAAGAAAAGAAAAAAAAGAAAAGAAGAGAAAAAGCCATTTCTTTCAAATTTCAAATACATTGTTAGTGAAGAATGTTTTAAAGGAAAACATTTCCTCACAGAACCTAATACAATTTCTTATTATTTTTCAAATTTAGAAAGAACTCACGCCTGGATTTGATATTTTTTCAGACAGCAAGCAATACTGACAGGATTCATAAATAGGATTTTCTGACACATGCAGGAAAGTCTGCTAACATTCACAACATTCCAACCACTCTTCTTTCAAGCATAAAAGATGGCTGAGAATTGGCAGTTATTAGTTTTCAGTACAAATACACATTTAAACCTTAATTTTTTTTTTTTGCCAACATTTTAAATAGTCAAATTTTATTCCACTTCCAGGGTTCAAATCAAACAAAAAACAAATGAAAATTACAACTGGCAACAAGTCCCATATGCCAATGTTATTTTTAACCAGTAATTGTAACCTACTGCCAGTAATTATTTACATGTATCTGCTTGTTTTATTAAATAAGCACTGGTCAGTTATATAACAGAAAATTTGTAAGAATGGTACTTGGCAATGGGTTATCTTAAAGCTTCTGGAATAAATAAGCATTTAGAAAACACCAGCTCTTAAAAGCATTTTTTTTTTTTTTATCTGTAATTTGAGTTAACAAATGCATTTTTAAATGTTACTTTTCCACTGATAGATTCTGGGAGTTTAGTCCCAGGTAACATGGGTGATTTGAAATAAACAAAATAAACAAATCCCTAAGCCACATGGTAATGGAATACTATACTTGCTTTTAATATGATATGGAAACAGTTCCAGGCAGACAAAAAGAAGAAAATCTGTCAAATCAAAGTACTGTAAATAAGGTTCATTTTATATACCCCCAGCAGAAAACCTCAAAAAAATCACAATCAAAAGATTACCCACTCCCCCCACTAGGCAAAAAAATCATTTTAGTTCTGAGCTTAACATTTCCCTAGGATGTTAATAGGAGAAGATTTAAAGCACTTAAAGCTGCAGCAGTAACTGTAGAAAGCGCCACACTACAGAGAAAAGCCCTAAAGGGTTCAGGGCTGCCCACCCATCCCTCACCACCCCCCACCCCAGTAATATGTAAAAGTTTTTCTTATGCTAATAAAGGCATACCACCTACTGTGCTAAAGACTAAAACTAGCAACATTAGAGCAGTAAAGTGAAAATAGGAAGCCTATAGGATTTATCTAAATGCCTACTTAGAAGAAACAAAGCAGCAGACAGGACCCTTTGCCCCCTGGTTGTGTTTGCAGGGAAGTGGTTATATTAAACGGCCAGATTAACTCATTAAAAAAAAAAAACAAAAAAAAAAAAAACCAACAAACCTTCCCCAAGGTACCAGAATAAAACTTGACCTTTTCAGTCAAAGGGCACAGAGAGGCCTCTTCATGTCCTGGAGTTGAATGAGTTCAAAGATTGGCAATAAAGGAAGAAAGAAAGCATTAGGGGTGTGATTGGAACAAGCCTTGCAGTTTATCGAACAGTCACACCAAGTTTTTCCAGGACTCGGACACCCTTTTCTTGGTACTCCTGTCGGGTCATCCAAAAGTTGTCTTTGTCTTTCATGATATCTGCTAGAACTGCACCACCCAGGAAGACCATGTGCTTTCTGCGAGGTGGGTCTTCAATTCGAATCTTAAATTTCTGAAGAAGGGATAATAAAATGTCACATAAGTATAGGGTTTTCTATTTCATGAAAATGACTTTTTTCACATATTCACTTGCTGAATCTAACGCAGGATTTGGAATCCGAGGCACAGAAACATTTAGCAATTTCTCCCGTACTCCACTCTAATGTACTTGGAACAGTTCAATTCACTCCTGTTGTCTCATTTTTAATAGCACCCCCTTTCATTCTCCAAAGCATGCTGATTTGAGCAGGGCAAGGTGGTGCATGCCTGTAATCCCAGCAGCTCGGGAGGCTGAGGCAAGCAACTCAGTGAAACTCTGTCTCTAAATGAAAGACAAAATAGGGCTGGGGATGTGGCTCAGTGGCAAAGTGCCCCTAAATTCAATCCCTGGTACCAAAAAAAAAAAAGTACACTGACTTGACAGATAAGTTACACAACCAATCACCTTACCAAGAGTCAAAATACCAGATGATGGACAATGATGGAGTCTAGTTGAGGACACCAGAGTAACACTGAACCAGCCTTCCTTTCTTCTTATTTTTTTCCACTGCTAGGGACTGAACCCAAGGTCTTGTGCACCCTACACAAGGGTTCTACCACTTAGCCGCACCCACAGTCCTGAAGTTTTTTTCTTGTAAGGAAAGCTCACTTTCTAAGGTCTCAAATTCAAATGAAATGTTCTTCAAATAAACAAGGCCAAATATGGTCAAAACAAATCATGGGGATGTTGGAGAAAATGAACACAGTAACTAAGACAATTGAGAAAAGTTTTATACTCTGTAGCTACTATAATTGTCTAAAAAGGATAAATCCTAATCTGTATAGTCAACATCTGAAAGAGAAACCTTCAAATGACATAGTTATTTTATGTCACAAATTCTGCAAAAAAGACTTAAAAGTAACTATGGCATTCTGCATTATGGTTTTATGTCAATAAATAGAATGTAGGAATCTGATATTCTATGAAACAATTTACTCATTAGTCAATTCTGAGACCAACCTACTGTTCTAATTCTTCAGTTACTTTTTTGCTATTATATCAATGTTCTTTGTAAAGGGCTAAGACAGTAAATACTTGGGGATTTTCAGGTTTATGGCAGCTACACCCGTATGTAGCCAGAAGACAGCCATACACAGTATATAACAATAGCTAACACTACTGTAAACAAATGGGCCTAGCTATGTTCCAATAAAATTAACAAGGGCTGTAATGTACCCACTTCTGCTCCAAGGGAAACTAAATAGCCCCTGAAGACACACTGCTTCACTTGCAGCTTTCCCAACTAGCTGCTATTCTCCTGCTCATACTACCTTCCTAATCCTAGTTTGGTAACAGGAGTTCTTGTTCTTCATTGCTTCTTTTATCTCCCTCCTCCCTGAACTCCACAGCTGCTCTGAAACTCATTCTATCCAACTACTCCATCCATCAATTCTCTTTGTCAAAGTCCTGTTATCTATAGATTCTTGCATTCCCCCTACACATCTCCAGGTTATTTCCTCTCATACCTATTCTTGGTTCATGAATGCACATATTCTCTCCATTTCCTGAGATTCTTGGTAACTTTCTTCTTTTCTTCCTCTTATACTCACTTAGCAAATACCAACTTGGGTTATCATCTTTCAACTTTGCACCTACCCTCAAGCAGCTGAGTTGGATAGGAAAGAAAACCAACAACTTGCTTTAAATGTAAACGCATCACTAACCTAAAAAAGGGCCTGAGTGCTAAATGGCAATCCTATTGCATTTCTCCACTCTCTTTTCCATTCTTCAAGAAATCACTTCAACCTCCTCCATTTTAAACCTCTAATATTTCCATCCCACTTCTCCAAACTATGCTTCTCCTCTTTGTTCCCTTCCCCTCTGCGAGTCTATTTACTATAGCCAACTTATCCTTTTAGTACATAAATCAGATCTTATCATTTCTTACTCAAACCCTCCCAAGACATTTTTTTTTAAAAAAAAGTTCCTCCCTGGATGACTTTTCCCTCGATCGATACAGGTCTCTCATTAAAAGTGAGAGACCTTATCAGAGAGGTCTTTCCTGATCACACTTATGAAGAAACATACCACCTCTCCAATCACTATCATTTTTTTGCTTTTAACCTTTTTTTTTCATTATAACACTGACATATTACTTAAACTAAAAGCAGGGACTTTATTTTGTTTACCACTATTTTGTTTGTACCAGCACCTAGAACAGTGTTTGGCACTTAGATGGAGTCCAAGAAATGTTTGCTGAATAAACAAATGATCCTATGTGATGGATTTTAAATTATATGTATAATTCAATAAAATCAGAAAAATGAGCAAAGTACTTAGACAACATGGCTCCTTTACAGTCTTAATTTGTTTAACATATGTAAGTCCATACTCAATTTAATTTCATTTTGAGTCATCTGTGAAAGATGTAACATTAGTGTTTCCAAAACATACAGTACTCCATAATATATAATCTCATTATCTAAAAAAGCTGACCAAAGACAGTGAAAAAAAGCTTAGAGATTAACCCAAGATTAAATGACTCTTAGTTGAGTACATAAAATATATAGCATACTTCATATAGTCCACAGCATTTTGTTTGTTTTTCTTTTTGTTTTTGGATACAGGGGAGGGCATATGCCAAAGAAGCATCAATTATCCCTAGTGTAAAAGTTTCTAATGTACACATCAACAATGACCAGTTAAAGTCTGTTCTAAGAGCTAATGATAGTTACAAGGATGCACAAGAACTGAACATATGATAGGAGAGATAAAACATGTAACAAATAGCCAGAAAATAACCTAAAGTCAGAATTATGATAGGCTAAGAGTAGTGTTGAAGGCCAACTACATATTCAAAAAGTTAAAAACAGAACAAAACAATACCCCAAATGGGACATTTATGGTTTCATAGTATATCAGATTCCCCTTCTGCACTTAGTGGCATGCTGGAGTCCAGGATGTGTGTTGTTGAACTAGGACATTTGGCCTGGACCTGGTCACCTCAATGCACTAAATAAGCGATGACCTGGAGCAACACCATTCTTGGATAGAATTTACCTTGAACCATTTACTTCCAGGCTACACTTCATTGCAGTAGGAATTTGTTTAGGAAGACTTCTTGCTCCCTCTGGTGGTTGTAAAGATCCACAAGCTTCTTTACATGGTTTTAAAATATCATTAACTGTTGCATTGTTAATACTTACAGAAAGTTTTTCCACATCTCCTTTTAAAACTCGTTCTAAGTAAAGCTGTTTAAGTTCTCGTTCCAACCTTGATGGCAGGCCAGGATACATAGTAGATCCTCCAGAAAGCACAATGTGCTTGTAGAACTCAGATCTAGGAAGAGACAGTAGGTATTCATTTGGAGGTTTCAGATTAGGAAAACAGTAAGTCAGGGTTACTACTATTTATTTTCTTTAATTTTTTTTTTTAAAGGACAAAATCTTGCTATGTTGTCCAAGTTGGCCTGGAACTTCTGGGCTCAAGTGATCCTTTGGGGGCCTCAGCCTTACTACTATACCTGGTACTAGGGTTACTGTTAATTTATGTCAGCCTCAGGGGACTGCTGGGAGGATTAAATAAAATATCACACATAAACCACAGGGCTAAATGTTTGCTATTGCAACTGCTATTGGAGAACAAGCCCTCTTCACATATAAAGTATTAAAATTTGATGAAAATATTTCTAAAAGCACATGATACACTTATTACATATGTAATAAATGACTACGGTTTACATTGAGAACTTCCAGTATTTAGACTGTTATCACAGTGTTTCCCTGAAGCCATGGGGATGTGTGTGTTTACTATGAATAGCTATACTGTACTCTCACTGAATTCCCACTTTTCAATTTTTCCATTTGCCTTTTTAGTTTTCCCTTTTGTTCCTGTGCCTTAAGGCTGTCTTTCATTATTTGGCTAGAAAGATAGTTGTGTCTGCTTCTCCTAGCAGTCAGTCCCTTTTTTCTTTTTTAAATATGCTGCTGTTGGCTATGATTTCCGAAAATCAAATCTAAAATATCTTCATCTAGTAAAAGAAACAGAATCTTGATGAGAGTCTAAGAGACTTTTCTCACAATAAAGTTTGGAAGCTGGGGCATTTCCATTTTAGCCAATTCCAACTGGCTTCTCAGTTTTTACCTGCCTCCAATGGCTAAGGCTGCTGCAACTCTAGCTTTTAGAAAACCTTTGTTTCCTATTTAATTGTGGAAATAGGAATTATGAAGTTAGCATAAGCCACACAGGTGAAATGTGGTTTCATGTGATATGTACATATATGTCAGCATCCAGAATACACAAAACAAAATCAGTCGTGCCACTTTTCCTATGCAAGCTCTGTGGAAAGGGTTCTAAATTTGATGTGCTTTAGGAATGCCAGAACTTTAATCACCACCAACGGGCATGCACTCTTAAATGTAACTCTTTTTTTTTTTTTTTGTAATAATTATTATTTTTTTTTATTGGTTGTTCAAAACATTACAAAGCTCATGACATATCATCTTTCATACATTTGATTCAAGTGAGTTATGAACTCCCATTTTTACCCCAAATACAAACTGCAGAATCACATCAGTTACACATTCACAATTTTTACATAATGCCATATTAGTGACTGTTGTATTCTGCTGCCTTTCCTATCCCCTACTATCCCCCCTCCCCTCCCCTCTCTACCTCATCTGTTGTTAATATCATTAAATCAAAGGACAAAAAGATCTGCCTAAATAATTACCATGAGAATTTACCACAATTATGAAGGCCAGATTAGATTTTTTATCATCATCTATTAGGCTTATAGTTTGTTGTAAGCCAACTACTATTTTTTTTTTTTAGAGAGAGAGAGAGAGAGATTGATTTTAATATTTATTTTTTAGTTTTCGGTGGACACAACATCTTTATTTTATTTTTATGTGGTGCTGAGGATCGAACCCAGCGCCCCGCACATGCCAGGCGAGCGCACTACCACTTGAGCCACATCCCCAGCTCCCAACTGCTATTTTTATTCATTTCTATTATTATCTCTCCCCAGCCATCATAAGAAAATTAATTTGGTGGTTTTTTAACTCAATAATAAACAAATAAATAAATGAATAAACACATACTTGCTTTACAAAATACCTGGGTCAATTTCTTTATAATTTGGATATAGAGGACAGCTTTCTATGACTCAAGCTCTGGGTGCAACAAAAGATAAGATTTAAAATCTTTTGATATAATTAAATAAAAACAAATTTTTGCATGGCCAAAAACACCATGTGCAAAAACCAAATAGCAAATAATGAGAAAAATACCTACAACTGTTATCACAGAGCTAAATGAATTTTTAAACACGGAGGAAAGGACTGGGGATGTAGTTCAGTGGTAGAGCATGTACTTAGAAATGTGCAAGGCCCTGGGTTCAACACCTAGCACCACAAAAACAAAACAAATGAACAATAACATAGAGAGAAACACACACACACACACACACACAAATTCTATAGAACAGTCAAAAGCCACGGAACAGACAATTCACACACATACACAAAATACAAAAAGTGGCCCCTTCCCCAGCACCACTGTAGAGGTATATGGCAAAAAAGTGGCCCTTAAGCACATAAAAATAAGGTCAGCTTTACTCTGTTTTAGGCGGGGTGAGGCAGTAGTGGGACTTGAACCCAGGCCCTTGCATATGCTAGGCAGGACTCTTACCACTGAGCTACATCCTCAGCCCTTTAAAAATTTTTATTTTGAAACAGGATTTTTCTAAGTTGTCCAGACAAGCTTTGAACTTGTGATCCCCCTGCCTTGGCCTCCCAAGTATTCAAGTGGTTAGGGTACAGTGTACCCAGCTGTAACTTCACATTTATTTATTTATTTGATTTTGTGCTGGCGTATGGGGGATTGAATCCTCTGCTCTATTATTAAATCCTTTTATTTTTTGATTTTGAGGCAGGGTCTCACTAAATTGCCCATGCTGGCTGCAAACTTGTTCACCTGTTGTTGTGGTTCACCAGCCTCAGCCTCTAGATGCTGCTGGGATTACAAACCTATACTCCACCCTTTTTTATATTGTATTTATAGATGATCTTAATAAGTTGCTCAGGGTCTTGCTTTTAAGTTGCTGAGGCTGGTTTTGAACTCTCAATCCTCCTACCTCAGCCTCCCAAACTGCTGGGATTGCAGGTGTATGCCAGTGTGCCCAGATGTAACTTCACTCTTTTTTTTTTTTAGAGAGAGAGAGAGAGAGAGAGAGAGAGAATTCCAATATCTATTTCTTAGTTCTCGGCGGACACAACATCTCCATCTGCATGCGGCACTGAGGATAGAACCCAGGCCGCACGCATGCCAGGCAAGCGCGCCACCGCTTAAACCACATCCCCAGCCCTGTAACTTCACTCTTAATAATAATAAAAATATATATATATAGAACAGGACATGGTGGCAAACACTTGAAATTCTTGTGACTGGAGATTGAGGCAGGAGGACCTCAAGTTCAAGGCCAGCCTCCACAACTTAGTGAAATCCTGTCTCAAAAATAAAAATTAAAAATAAAACAAGTTGGGGGCTGGGGCTGTAGCTCAGCAGTAGAGTGCTTGCCTCGCACATGTGAGGCACTGGGTTTGATCCTCAGCACCACATAAAAATAAACAAAAAAAATAAAGATATAAAAAAAAAAATTTAAAGGGCTGGGGATGTGGCTCAAGCGGTAGCGTGCTCACCTGGCATGCGTGCAGCCTGGGTTCAATCCTCAGCACCACATACAAAACAAAGATATTGTGTCTGCCGAAAACTAAAAAATAAACATTAAAAATTCTCTCAAAAAAAAATTTTAAAAAAATAAAATAAAACAAGTTGGGAATGTAGCTTGGTGGTAACTCTCTCTCTCTATATATATATACCAAATGCTCCTGAGTTTGATCCCTAGTACCACATTAAAGAGAGAGAAAAAATACAAATTAAAACTAGACAGATTAATTTCTCACTGACCAGAGTGATTTAAAAGTAATAAAATTGATAAAACTTGGAATTTTAAGGCTGTGGACAAAACTACTACCCCTCATATGTTCCTGGGGGAAGGAGAATTTGATGATACTTAACAAAAATATATGCATTTACATAAAACAAAAGCTTTTGCACAGCAAAAGAAACAACAGAGTAAAGAGGCAAGCTATTAAATAGCAGAAAATACAGAAAAACCATACATCTGATAAATGGTTAGTATCCAAAATATGAGCAACACAACTCAAAAGCAAAAAATTAGATTTTAAAATGGACAAAGGGACTGAATACTCATTTCTCAAAAGAACACATACAAATGAACAACTGATATATGAAAAGAAATGAAATTAAACCAGAATCACGTATCACCTCATACCTGTGAGAATGGCTATTAGCAAAAACATGGAATACAACTTTTGGTGATGAGAAAAGGAAAACTTTGTATACTCTTGGTGGGAGGAACATATATTAGTACAGCCATTATGGAAGATAATGGAGATCCTTCAAGAAATTAAACAATAGAACTAACATCTGCTTTAGCAATCCACTCCTGAATATATACTAAAGGACTTAAAAATCAATATGCTGAAGAGACAGGTGCACTCCCATGTTTGCTGCAATATCAGTTACAATAGCCCAGATATGGAATCAATCTAAGTGTCCCTTAACAGATAAATGGATAAATAAAATGTAGTATTATATGTAATATAATATAATTTCCCTTAAAAGGGAAATACGGTCATTTATAGCAACTTGGATGGACCAAGAGCAGATTATGTTAAGTGAAATAAGTCATACATAGAAAAATACCACATGATTCCACATGGATATGGAATCTCAAAAATTTGAACTCATGGAAGCAGAGAGTAGAATGGTGGTTACTGATTACCACAGGCTGTGGGTAGAAGTAGGGAGATGTTGATCAAAGGATATAAAACTTCAGTTAGACAGCAGGAATGAGTTCAAGAGTTCTATTGTATACTATGATGACTGTATTTAATAACAATATAATAGATACCTGAAAAATCACTGAGTAGTTGTTTTTGAGGTATTATGGGCTGAACCCTGAGCCTTTAACATGCTAGGGAAGAGCTCTACCACTGCTACATCCCTAGCTCTTTATATTTGAGACAGGATCTCATTAAGTTGTAAAGACTAGCCTCAAACTTGCTATCCTTCTGTCTCAGTCTCCCAAATAACTGGGATTACAAACCTGTGCCACCATAACCAGCTAAGAGAGATTGTGAATGTTCTCATCAAAAATTGTATGTGAAGTAATGTATGGAGTTAATAAATTCAAATTTATCCACTCTACAATGTATACCTATTTCAAAATATCATGTACAACAGAAAGACAATTTTTGTCAATTAAAAAAAGCATGCATGCGAGGTACAGTGGTGCACGCCCATAATCCCAGTGGCTCAGGAAGCTAAGGCAGGAGGATCGTGAGTTCAAAGCCAGCCTTAGCAAAAGCGATGCACTAAGCAATTCAGTGAAACCCTGTCTCTAAATTAAAATACAAAATAGGGCTGGGGATGTGGTTCAGTGGTTGAGTGTCCCTGAGTTCAATCCCCAGAACAACAAAAAATAAAAAGGCATGCATTTACCAGTTGACATAGCAGTCAGAATATACACATCCAACAATACAATACACATGGTCACACATATGTTATTTCTCATCATGATATTGGAATCTATTTAAATAACCAATAATAAAAGATTCATTGAGCCAGGTACACATGCCTGAAATCTCAGCAACTCAGGAGGCTGAGGTATGATGACCATAAGTGTAAGGCCATCTTGGGCAATTTGATGAGATTCTCAAAATAAAAAATAAAAGGGATGGGGATGTAACTCAATGATAGTGTCCTGAGGTTCAATTCCCTGTGCCACTCCCCTGCCCTGCAACAAGGGGGTGGGTTTCATTGAATGAAACAGAATATATTCACATAATGGAGTACTACACAAATGGAAAAAGAATGAGGACAAACTCGATGAAATGATATAGCATTATTTAAAATATATTGGTAAGTGAAAAAAATTATAAAAAAAGTATTTAAGTATGCTACCTTTTTTATAAGAAGAGCAATAAAAAACACAGAAAGGACAAACCAGAAACTAATGAGATCATTTACCTACAAGAGAGGGAGGACTAAGGAAAGCTACTACTAGGTATATTTTTTTGTGTAGCTGATAGTGTAGACAATGTTCTACATATCAAAACACATAAAAACTGATGGAGGAATGTCAAAGGACACAGAAGCCTGCTTGGAAGGGACTCCTATTGGCCGAATCAGGAATAATGTAAGCATCACAACAGACAGCAATAAATTATAACCCACTGAGTAAAATCATGAGTCCAGGTTGATTAAATAATAATAATAATAATAATAATAATAATAATAATAATAATAATAATAAAGAAGTCAGGGCTTAGTGGTGCACATCTATGATTCCAGCAATTCAGGAAGCTGAGGCAGGGGGATTCCAAGTTTGAGATCAATCTCAGCAATTTAGTAAGACCCTATATCAAAATAAAACATAAAAGGAGGGCTGGGGGTCTAGGGTTGTGGCTCACTGGTAGAGCTCTTGCCTAGCATATGTAAGGCAATGGGTTCAATTCTCAACGCCACATATAATAATATAAATTTCATTAAAATCTAAAAAAATTAAATAAAGGGGGGTCGGTGTTGGGGATGTGGCTCAGTGGTTAAACAACCCTAGGTTTAATTCCTGGTACCAAAAAAAAAAAATAAAATAAAATAAAGAAAGAAAAAAGAAAAACAGAGTAGGAAAATAATTCCTTACACTGGAATATCAATAAAACAGAAGAAATAAATTAAAAAACCAACTCTCCACAGTCATTACAATAAAAATGGATTTAGGCAAGAAACACAAATGGATGCCAAAGGCAGAGATAGTGATGACAGAGTGATGAGGAACAGAAAATTTACACAGCCTCAATGTATTTCTCCACAAATTATTAATGAGGAAAGCAAAAACAGTAAATTTCACTAAGAGCTTAATACTAACATGAATAATAACCCTAACCTCTGGAAGTAATACCCTGAGAAGGACACATCATTTACATAGTATTCTAGCCAAAAAATGCACATCTTGAATCCAACTATAAGAAAACAGACAAACACAAATAAGAGAAATTCTCTACAATAACTGGCCTGTAGTCTGCAAAAATGTCAATGCCATGAAAGACAAACAACTGTACCAGATAAAAGGTGATTAAGAGAGCCGGGCACAGTGGTGCACACATGTAATTCCAGTGGCTCAGGAGGTTGAGGCAGAAGGTTTGCAAGTTTGAGGCCAGCCTGGACAACTTAGCAAGATTCTGTCTCAAAATAAAAGATAAAAAGGGCTGGAGATCAGTGCATGAGGTCCTGGGATCAATTTCCAGTATTAAAAAATTAATTAATTCTTATAAATTTGACAGCCACATTGTGACTTTCTAAGAGAGTACTTTTTTTTCTTAGGAAACAAACTGGTAAAGAGAACTGATGCATTTGACTTACTCTCAAATAGTTTTGGGGAAAAAAAGAATGATAAAGCAAACATATAGAACATTAAAATTACTAAAACAATGAATGTAGACAAGTTTTCTGTAGGTATTAAATTAATATCTACAGAATACTTCAAAATAAGTACAAAGTAGCTTCTGAAAGTCAAGAATATGTTTTCTCTTATGTGGAAGTTAGAAAGGAAAAAGGAAAAGAAGGGGAGAATCTCCTGGAAAAAAGGGAGATCAGTAGGTAGAGAAAAGGGACAACAGGTAGGAAACAGGGAAGGAAAAGGGGAAATACTGGGGAACGATATTGGCCAAATTATATTGTTTACATCACGTGCATGTAGGAATAGATAATAACAAATCTCCCCATTATGTGTAATCATAAAGTACCAATAAAAAAAAAATGGAAAAAGAGAGTGGCTTCTGAGACACAATCATGTATTATGTTATTCAACATCCAGTACTGTCCTATCAAAAATTTGTTTAATAACATGAGTGAGATAATAGACAACTTGTTCATTCTAACTACTGATAAATAGATCCATTTCTGATAAATAACTTGGAAACCATCATTTCTAATATACCTGGTATCAATGTCAGCCGCCTGGATTGTGTTAAATAGCAATTCAGCAACACCGACTCCCTCAACATTGATCAAATGAGGTTGAAATAAAGCTTCTGGTGCTTCAAATCTCTCTCCCCCAACTTTAATAATGCGTCCATCTGGGAGCTAGAAACAAAGAATAACCAGGTACTAGTCTCAGCCAAATATTCTCCAGAATGTCAGTACTTTTAAACATTAGTACTTTACAGTATTCTCCAGATACATTAGTATATTCTATAACTAAAATTTTTTGTTAAAAGCAATTAAATTTTTTTCTAAAACATTTTTTTTAAAAAGGGAAACTAAAATTAAATTTATTTAGATTCTTATTATTATGCTCTATTTTGCATTTTAAAAAAGGGGCTGAGGCTGTAGGTCAGTGGTACAGTGCTTGTCTCACATGTATGAGACACTGGGTTTAATCCTCAGCACTACATAAAAATAAATAAAGATATTGTGTCCATTAAAAAAAAAAAAAAGTATGTCACAGCTGGGCACGATGGTGCATGCCTATTGTAATCCCAGTGACTGAAGAGGCTGATACAGGAAGATCACAAGTTCAAAGCCAGCCTCAGCAACTTGGTAAGGCCCTAAGCAACTTATCGAGACTCTATCGTCAAAATAAAAAATAGAAAACAGCACCCCTGGATTCAATCCCTGGTACCAAAAAAAAAAAGTATGCTATGCTCCCAAATAGCAGGAATTTCTTAGAGAACTCATCAGTACATATGTGCCTGACATCCATCTGTGTACAGCAAAGCATTAACAAGCAGTATTGAACAACTACTATATTCTCATTGCTAGTATGTGTTAATGCTGATTGTTTTAAATTTTCAATACATTTGTGATTTCATACACAATAAACTTTTTTTTTTTTTTGGTATTGGGGATTGAACCCAGAGGTGCTGAACCACTGAGCCCCACCCCTGGTCCCTTTAAAAAAAATTTTTTTTAAAATTTTTTAAATAAAAATAAATGGGTCCGCTAAGATGCTTAGGGCTTTACTAAGTTCCTGAGGACAGCCTCAAACTTGTGATTCTCCTGTCTGAGCCTCGAGTTGCTGGGATAATAGGCTTGTGCCATCATGCCCAGCTCACAATAAACATTTTTAATAATTTTCTTTCGGGCTGGGGCTGAGTGATAGAGCACTTGCCTAGCATGTATGAGGCACTGGGTTAGATTCTCAGCACCACATAAAAATAAATAAATAAAATAAAGATATTATGTCTATATAAAATATATACAATTTTCTTTCACCAAATAACTAGTCTGTGAAAGTATTACACTCTACCACTGTGTTATATCCCCAACCCTTTAAAAAAAAAAAAATTTTTTTTTTTTTTCGGTGCTGAGGATCAAACCCAGGGCCTCATGCATGCTAGGCAAACACTATACCACTGAGCCACATCCCCAGCCTAAATTTTTAATTTTGAAACAACTTCTTACTGAATTGCCTAGGCTGACCTCAAACTCTTCTTGCCTTAGCTTCCTAAATAGGTGGAATAATAGGCTTGCACTACCATGTCAAGCTTGGATACTATTTATTTTGCTATCTCAATACTTTATGTGTACTAATTCTCAAATAATTTAATCCAAAGAATGTTCACCATCAAAAAAGTGAACACTGACGTAGACTACTTTTTATAGGCTATTTTGTTATATCCTATCAGGATATAAATTCTTAAAAAACTGAATACAATTTTAGTTTAAACCAGTAAGATTTAAATAACAGATCCCATATCACACCATGTTTATATTTAATTAAATCAGAAATGCGAAGAAGAAACTCTTATATTACACCTGACAACTTACTGGATTGATATAAGTAACAATATATGCTCATGAATGCTGGCATTAGATGCATTTCTATGAGATATCAGAATTTTCTTTATATTCATATTTTAACAGAATACTTATTAATAAGTAATACATAAATTTATAATCATACTGTAACTATAAGTTTTCTAATTATATTTATAATTTATATTTAAAATGACAATGAAGCACAAAACAAACATATTCCTTAAAACAGTGGCTGCTGAAGTTGTTTACAGATACGTGCAGAGAAATTACACCCTATCTTATATTTGTTAACCCAGACTTGTCCTTCTTTATTTACTCACCAGTCTACTATTTTTACACTTCTATGTATTTTTGTAACCTATCTCAAATGTTTGAAAAAGAAGGGAAGATTTGCATTTTTAGTTCTCTTATCATTTGCCTTGTGCCACTTTCTTTCCAAACAATTCAGGTAAATGGCAAATAAGAAATCTACAGAAACTGTTGAGAGAAGATTTCAGGAATGAATCTCAAGGGCAAATTTGGAGATCATTAAGTTATAAAGTGGATTTTATTGTGTATTTGGAGCAGTATCATAACAAAAAAATTATAAACATTTATAATTACTTTAAAAATAACTATTTGGGGCTCATTCAAAACCCTAGTTCAAACCCAGCACTATAAAAACAAAATAAAAAGCTGATGCAGATAATCTCCTTAAATTGTTATCAATAACTATGTCTGTTCATTTTTAAACTGATTCTATATTATACACTGGATATACTTACTGTATAAGATTCAACTAATACTGTGGTTTCTAAAGCCAGTTTCTGCTCCTGCTCAATATTGTATCCCACATAACACAGTTTTTCTTTAATCATGCGAACCGTTTCAAAATCAGCAGAATGGTTGAAGGCGTATCCTCTCAACAGAAGCAGCTGGTACCAAAAAAAAAAAAGAAAAGAAAACACAGCAGAAGGTTCATAATAGACCGTAATGAGTTCTACTCTGCAAAAGATATTAATGCTCATAAAATGACCCATCAATTGCAAATACAATGGCAGTGTATCCTCGGTTCCTACTGAATATTTTGGAAGTGGGAATTTTATCTGCTTTAAGAGGATTTATATTTCATTTTCACAGAGAGTAAAAAAATTAACAGTTCATGAATAATAATTTGGTAAAATAAACTAGAAAAAAGCTTTTAAAAAGAGTACTGTTTGTGTACTTATGTTTAGTGCTTGTGAACAATCAAAACTACATAATGAATAAATACTATGTTAGTAGTAGACTTCTGTAGCCTGCAATTTGCTTATTCTATCAATGCCATGCTTATAAAATTCCCCAGATCCTAGAGAGTTTTATCTTTGACTTTCAGTACCATGTCTGGCACTATTGGTAGGCCACCAGAATTTGTTAAGTGAATAAAAATTGTTGGGATACTTGAATCTCTAAGTTTAAACTTCTTCCTCCCTCACTCTGTTTTCTTAGAGATGGGGTCTGGTTATTTTGCCCAGGCCAGCCTTGAACTCCTAAGTAGAAGTGATCTGCCTTAGCCCAAGCATGTAGGACTAAAAACATGTGACAATGAACCTAGCTCTTCATTTCTTAAGTGATAAGAAATATTAAAAAAGCAAACTACCTAGAGAAAATAACTTAATAAGCATCATAAACACAACTAGACTTTGTAAAGTCCTCTAATCTTTGTGTTTATATTCAAAATAAGATCCACAGAAACTCTGCTGGTTACCTGAGAATTTGGGCTAGAATGAGTATTAAAATTCTCATTAATTTGGGCTGGGGTTGTGGCTCAGAGGTAGAGCGCTCACCTAGCATGCTTGAGGCACAATAAAGATATTGTGTCCACCAAAAACTAAATAGTAAAAAAAAAAAAATCTCATTAATTTCATCTCCTTACATGAAGAGGATTACTGTAAATGAGAGTAAAGGAACCCAATGTCAAGGTAAAGACTTAATGCAACTATGTTGATGCACAGTCAGCATTTCTCAATAGTAGCAAATAATATATTCTTATTAGTATACCAGAAATCACATATGGAAATCTTATGTGTATTTTTACATGAATAATGGATAACAGGGTAACTTCTCTGATGGAGATTATCTAGAATCCTTATACACTAAATTTTGTGTTAAATCAGTAAACAAACTACAAAAACTAGTTTCCATGGTATTTTCCTTTCACTTACCTTGATAAGATATCTGGTAATATCCCTCCCAGCAATATCCAGTCTCCTGGTAAGATGAGGGAGAGAAAAACCTTCATACACTGGGCAAATGTGAGTTACACCATCTCCAGAATCCACCACTACACCAGTCAATAAACCTGCACAAAAACCAGGAGGTTTTAAATAAAAAGCCCAGTCAGAAAAATCGAAGATGACAAGTTTCAATATAGTGTAGAAGTCAAATGAGAAAATTAACCAAATGGGAAAGGTCTAGTAGAAGTCAGCACTTCTTTTTTATTTACTTATTTTACAATTTGTTTCTAATACACAGATATTAAAGTTAGTGTTCTCTTATGAGACTTTTAGTATAATCATGTCTCTCCTCCCTAAGGAAATGGAAAGAAACAAACCCTGAGACCTAGGACTGAAAAACAGAATAAATTATTAAAGCTCAGTACAATTCTTAATTTTTCCTTCCAACTTAGCCTTATTTTTTTTTTTTGTACTGGGGATTGAATCCATGAGTACCTCACCACTGAGTCACATCCCTGCCCCTTTTATTTTTCAGACAGGGTCTCACTAACTTGCTTAGTTGAGTTGCTGAGATTGGCCTTGAACTTGTAATCCTCTTGACACAGCCTCCAAATTTGCTGGGATTACAGGTGTGACTGCACCTGGCTCCAACTTAATCTTTTAAAAATTTTTTTTTATTTTTTAGTTTTAGGTGGATACAATATCTTTATTTTATTTTTATGTGGTGCTGAGGATCGAACCCAGTGCCTCACAGGTGCTAAGGGAGCACTCTACTACTTGAGCCACAACCCCAGCTCCTCCAACTTAATCTTGATCACTGACTTTACTAAAAGTAAACTTCTCTAAAGCATCATGGATAACTTTTTAAAAAATCACTGTGAAAAAATACTGGGGCTTTGGATGTGGCTCAAGTGGTAGCGCGCTCACCTTGCATGCGTGAGGCACTGGGTTCGATCCTCAGCTCCACATAAAAAAAAAAAAATTAAAAAAATTGTAGATACTGCACAAAATAACAAGTTGACCCGTCAACCTGTTGAAATCATATAATTCTTTACTGTTTTTTGGACACACAGCACATTCAAAATGGTTATTTTAGAAATGTCTACTAATACTGGATGGCTAGACTACTGAGAACAATTAAGCTTGTCTAGCCAAAGCATTAGTTCAATTATTCACCCAAAACCAGAAAAACACTGCTGGTTCTACTTTATAATAAAAGAATAGCAGAGAAGCCACTTGGCTTCTCCTATGTTCTATAGGAAAACAAAAATGGCTGCAAAAAGTTAGTGTTCCACCTTCTGCAACAAGGGAAAAAAAATTTTTTTTTCATATATATGTTTTTTCTTGTGGTGCTGGGAATTGAACCCAGGGCCTTGTGCATGCAAGGCAAGTACTTTTACCAACTGAGCTATATCCCCAGCCCTTTTTTCCTTATATTTTTTAATAGAAAAAAAATTAAACCAAAATATACATTATTTATAAGTTTACTCTTACTTTACTATTTACTTATCCCTAAATAGGCTCTCTTCTTCTTTCTTATTAGTGTAAGTTTGCATGTGCTATAGTATCTAATTGTTTTTTAATAAACTTACTCAACTACCTCCGTTTTTTTTTATGGGTGGGGTACCAGGGATTGAGTTCAGGGGCACTCAATCACTGAGCTACATCCCCAGCCCTATTTTGTATTTTATTTAGAGACAGGGTCTCACTGAGTTGCTTACTGTTGCTGAGGCTGGCTTTGAACTATAGATCCTCCTCAGCCTCCCAAGGTGCCAGGGATTACAGGAAAGCACCACCATGCCCGACAACTACCTCCATTTTTAAGTTGATATAATTTTTTTTTTTTACCTGTGGTATTAGGATTAAACCCAGGGCTCTATCACTGAGCTATATCCACAACCCTTTTTATTTTTCATTTTGAGACAGGGTTGCTTAGTATCTCACTAGGTTGCTGATGCTAGCCTTTAACTTGTATGTTCCCGCCTCAGCCTCCTCAGTGGCAGGGATTACAGGTGTGTGCCGCTGAGCCTGGCCTGAAAGTTGTTTTTAAGAAATGAAATAAAATTACCTAGTTGCAGACAAGCACTCCCTCCCTTATACAAAAGTAAGTGATTTTTTTTTCTCCTCCTTCAAAGGAAAAGTTTCTCAAAGCTGGACTAAAATCACCTTAAGGACAAAGAGACCATGTCTCTTTCTCTGCTATATCCTTTGTTCTAAACAGTGCAAGACACACACTACATTTCGTGAATAAATAAAGCTTCTTTAAAAATTTAACCCAAGGGCTGGGGATATGGCTCAAGCGGTAGCGCGCTCGCCTGGCATGCATACGGCCTGGGTTCGATCCTCAGCACCACATACAAAGATGTTGTGTCCGCTGAAAACTGAAAAATAAATATTAAAAAAAAAAAAATTTAACCCAAGTATTTTCTATGTATCTATATATAGTACAAAAGAGATTTTTTAAACCCAAAATGTATTTTCCAAGTTTTTACTAATCTATGAGTAAAATCAGATAAATCACCATAAAGTTAAATTCTTTATTTCTGAATTTTTGTTCTCCCCATAAGTTCCTTGTGAAGCCATAATTAGATAGGCAGTCAGTGTAGATAGGTAAATCGAGTCAGGTCAGGTCAAAGAGGCCAATTTTGAGTGAGTCTGGGAAGTTGGAGACTGTTCTCTGAGGAATCTTATCAAGAACCTGCCCCTGCTCCAACCTGTTGCCAAAGTAACCTGTCCCAGGGAGCTGCTTTAAGGTTGTTAATGTGTCCCTGTCTACTCCATCCTGGCCTTCCCCCTTCAGCCCACCTGATTCCCACCTTTTGGCCATCCCAAGGAGCATTCCTGGGCCTAGTCATATAAGCAGGAAGGAGAAAGATAAGGGGGGAAAGGCAGAACACCTCGCCTCTTGGGATACCATGATACCAGCTATGACCCCCTTCTCCCTCAAGGGAGAAGTCTATGTTACCCATTTTTAAATAAACTCTGCATCATATGCTTGCCTCCATGTGCTTCTCTAATGTTCAAACTTCAACATGTGGGGAAGCAAGGCTTGTCACCCGATAACCGGCGGTATCACTTGAGGGCATCTTTTACTTCAATGCCTAAAAGACTCCTTGGCACATATTTGATAGCACCATAAATTCTCAATAGTTCTTGTTGAACTTATAAGGCCATCAAAATATAAAGGGCTCTCTCCACATGGCCAATATCTGATTCTCAATAAACAAGAAGGCAGGGTATGGCAATACCAAGAGAACAGTAGATCTGAGACAGACCACCACAGGGATAAAGAGCAAATGCACTCCTGGGCCTTATTAACTCATGGCCTGACAGTCATTAAAAGATAGTATAATGTTTTTTCTCTTTTCTCCCACCTTCATTCATAACTTGTTAACTATTAAAAGCTTGGTACATGCCTTACCCACCCCTTCAAACAACCATATCAGCTTCAGAGACCAGGTGCATCATTAGGGCCAAAACACTCTTGCCATGACTCTCTGACAACACAAAAGATTAAAACTGTTAAGGACTGAGCCCTTAAATTGTTATTTGCCATGATTTTGTGTTCTCTTCTATTTTCCACCCATGTGTTCTCTTAACAGCTATAACATCTCATCCTTATCACAAGACAGAGATGTTTATACAGAATGTGGCATCAGTATGAAAACCTGTCAAGACTCTTCCATGATGACCGCTGACAGTGCCTTCCTCAGAGTTAAGATGCTCTCACAGGAAAAGAAAAGCACACTTTTGAAAGGTACCTAAAGCCAATTAACATTCCTAAGCCTTAGCCTCTCCTTCCAAACAGCCCTTTCACAGGAATAAAACTCCCTTTGTTCCAGAGGCTGCCCAGTTTTTCTCTTATGAGAAGCCTTAATAAAAGCTTTACATTTCTTTGTTCTCTGTCCTGACTTGTTTTCCTTTCTAGAGTCACAAAGTCAAAGTTCCAGTGTCTGCCATCAGTCTTTCATTAAATCCACCTCAAAAAATACGAATCCCAAATGTCCTTCTTTTCCCTTTTATTCCTCCTATTTTATATCTTGACAAGTCTGATTTTTAGGCTAATCTATTAGATATATGTGTGTGTGTGTGTGTTTGTGTGTATTTTTTAAATTCAAGCCAATTGTTAAGATAATTCCATTTTATTTTCTTCTGCATAAAAAATTAAAATAGCTTAAGAGGGAATATCCTTTTTTTCAAACTGGTCTTGGGTTGGGGATGTAGTTCAGTGGCAAAGAACTCCTCTAGCATGCTTAAGACATTGGATTCTATCCCTAGCACTGGCCCCCTTCACCAAAAATTGATGAATTGCTTTAAATCTTCCTGTGCAGTAAAGCAAATAAAAGTGTATGATATTTTATTTGAGAAATAACAAATTGTGAAAATTTTTCAAAGTGTGGTATATAAATAATGTGATTTTTCTGGGATTTGTAACTTAATGAGAAATCAAATTTTTCTGGCATAAGATTAATGGTGAATTAATTTTTCTAACAGTTAAGTATTACCTACCTTGAGCATACAAAGTCAGAACTGCCTGGATGGCTACATACACACCAGAAAACTGGTAAGTTTCAAACATTACCTGAAAATGTAGGGAAAAAAAAGTGGTATTTACAAAGATGCATAATACATATTTATATGCTTTCTTCATGGTCATAGAGAGGATCAGTTGACCAAATAGAATTAAAGGGACCTGAACAGTCATCCATTCTAAACAGTTTCTCCTGCCTCTATAAACTCCTGCTGTCACAGAGCTCCAATGCTGACCATAAATTTTTGGATACATACTAAATCTCCAAGCATTCATAAGTGCTACAAAACAAAGATTTCTGAGAGTGTTATAATTAGTGGCTAATTAGTGTGACAGAAAGCTTCCTGCACTTCAACCCTTGTAGTTAAAAACAAAGAAGTATGGACTGGGGTTGTGGCTCAGTGGTAGAGTGCTTGCCTTGCACATGTGAAGCTCTGAGTTCAATCCTCAGCACCACATAAAAAAATAAATAAAGGTATTGTGCCCATCTACAACTAAAAAAATATTTAAAAAACCAAGAAGTAGAATTGGGGATACAGTTTAATAGTAGAGTGCCTAGCATGCAAGGGCCCTGGATCCAACCAATTCCTACAAACAACACACACACCCTAAAATCATGAAATAAAATGAGAAGATGAAGACTTTTATTAACTGTGTTAATAAGATGGCAGATAAAGAAATTGCTTAGCTGCAGAGCACGTGGTCCCATCATTGAACCAAGCCTATAACTCCTCTCTCTTCCCCATGAACTACACAGGAGGAGGGAGTTTCCTTTTGCCCTCTCCAGTCACACTTATTCTCTGCAGCCCAGGTTAGCTGGAATAACTTGCATTTCTTTTACCAATAATCTCTAGTGAGCATGACTCGTAGGGTCACTGTCACTATGAATATCTAGATACTTACAAATTTTACAATGGATCACAATGAGAATTATATAGAACTTAAATTCATATGTATTCATCAGTTAAACAACTAGATATTCTGACTAGTATTCTATTTCCTCAACCTTTGAATAAACACCCCTCTACAGGAAAGAAAATGGAAGAGTGATGCTATATATGTGCACATACCAACTTGAAAGTCTGTTAAAATTTATTTATAAAAGAAAAAAAAAGAATAAATTAATTAAATAAGGAAAAAAATTTATTTATATTTATAAGACTATTCAAGTACTTGTGGGCTGCGGATGTGGCTCAGTAGTACAGTACTTGCCTAGCATACGTAAACCCCTGGGATAAATCCTCAGCAAGACCCCCCCCCGGCCCCACAAAAAAAGTGTACAAAACTTAATACAAAAATTAAGTTTTAGCTAGATACGGTAATGAATACCTAGTCTCTAGCTACCCAGGAGGCTACCAACAGGAGGACCACTTGAGCCTGTCCATTCAAAAAAACAACAAAAAAAAATTGAGTTTTCATTGTCTAAAACTATAAAATGTCATCTAACAGGAAAATTCTTCTAACCCTTTTCCAAAATTTCCTTCAACATCTAAATATATTCATAGAGTAAAACAAATTACGCAAAAATTGGTTCATTTACATTGCATAGCAAATAGCAAGCTACTAAGATGTAGAAAGTTATCAAGTTTCTACATCATATAACAAAATGAAAGAGAAACTTGAAACTTTACGTATTAGAAATGTAGCTCTCCTGCTCTTTCTTTCTTCTCTGCTTACCTTACTGTACTAGTCTTCTCAGTTTCCCGCTGGATTCTCTGATCTCTCTGGTTTTTAGCCTTTTCACCCCTGTCTACTCTCACTGTGGCGAACAGTATGATCCTGAAGGCTCTCAAATTTATATCTCCAGCCTGAACTCGATCTTACATCTACAACTATATCTTTGACATTTCTGCTTTGATGTCTAACGACAGCCTTAAACTTAACATATCAAAACTGAACTCCCGATCATTTGCCTTAAATTCTTAGCTGATGGTAACTATGTCCTCTAGTTACTAAAGTCAGAACCTTCCTGACAACCCCACATCCAAAGCATCAGAAAATTCCTGTACATAATCTGATCACCTCTCATACTTCTGCTGTTATCCCTGATCTTAACCACCATTATCTTTTTTTTTTGGTACTGGGGATTGAACTCAGGGGCACTCGACCACTGAGCCACATCCCCAGCCCTATCTTTTTTTTTTTTTTTTAATATATTTTTATTTTTTAGTTTTCAGCAGACACAACATCTTTGTTTGTATGTGGTGCTGAGGATCGAATCCGGGCCAAACGCATGCCAGGAGAGCGTGCTACCGCTTGAGCCACATCCCCAGCCCCCAGCCCTATCTTTGTATTTGATCTAGAGACAAGGTTCCACTGAGTTGCTTAACGCCTTGCTTTTGCTGAGGCTGGCTTTGAACTCCCGATCCTCTTGCCTCTGCCTCCTGAGCCCCTGGGATTACAGGTATGCGCTACCTCTCGAGGTGCCATCATTATCGTTTGCCTAAATAACTGAAAATCTTCAAACTGGTCTCTTTTTCACCTTTGCCTCCCTATGGTATACTCACAACACAGCAGCCAAAGAAATCTGAATCAGCATTTCTTCCCTGTAAGTGCCCCTCATTTCACTCAGAGTAAAAGTGTAGTTCCCTGTTTTAGCCTACAAGGCAATCATGTTCCTTATCCAATGTTATCTCTTTGTGTTCTTCCATCAACCACACTCTGCAGTCACACTAACTCTCTGGCTGATCCCCTAATATGCCAAAATGGGGCTGGGAATGTGGCTCAAGCGTTAGCCTGCTCGCCTGGCATGCATTCGGCCCGGGGTTCGATCCTCAGCACCACATACAAACAAAGATGTTTTGTCTGCCGAAAACTAAAAAATAAATATTAAAAAAATTCTCTCTCTCTCTATTTAAAAAAAAAAAAAAAATGCCAAAATGTTCCAACTTTAAGACTTACATTGGCTACTCCTTTCTTCCTGCAAGGCTCTTCCCCTATATATCCTGGCTAATTCCCTTACCAGTCTTTGTTTAAACATCATTTTTAGATAGAGGCCTATTACCACAACCTGTCTACAGCTGCAACTGCCCACTTTCCTTAACTTACTCTATAGTTTTTCCTTTAGCACCTACTATGTCCTAACAACAACAACAACAAAAAGCCTATATTCCCCTGCTAAAATATAAACTTCACATCATCAGGATTTTGTTTATTAATATATCCCACTTAGAGTAATAAAGACTAGCATATTCAAGATGAGTATCCCTTATCTGAAATGCTTGGGACCAGAAGTGTTTCAGGCATTGAATATTCACAGACTTTACCAGTTGAGCATCTAATCCAAAAATCCAAAATCTAAAATGCTGCATAGTCCAAAACTTCTTAAGCATCATGCCATGCTCAAAAAGTTTTAGATTACATATTAGGAATGGTCAAACTGTAGAAAATGCAAAATAAGATTATTTTTATTCCCTTTATCCATAGGAACTATGGTAAGAAAAAAGAATTTTTTATTTAATATAACATCAGAAAGACACACATATGCATATCCCATCTAAAAACTTACCTCTACAATCTTCTCTCTGTTTTTGGTTGGGTTCATAGGAGGTTCTGTGAGTAAGATTTTACAATTTCTGGTATCTATGTTAAGTTTCTCTGGTCCAAAGGTATAATCCCACAGATGTTTCATGTCATCCCAATTTCGTACAATGCCATTTTCCATAGGATAGTTAACTTCTAACATTGATCGTAATTCACTTGCCTCATCACCAACCATGAGATCCTAGAAAATGATAATATCAAAGTTTAAAACCAGTCAAATTTTTATATAAAGCAGCTTCAAAAAATTATATTCCCAAGATATTTCTGAAAACTTGGGGATAATTAATTTTAGTCTTTTTGGCACTTTTCAGATAAAGTTTTTATTCCAGAAGTTAAAAATCTTTTTTTTAAGAACAATGTCTTACAAAGTTTAATCGTGGATAATAAATTTTTATGTACTACATGGTTTAAATCAATAAATTGACCTTACCTTTAATATATATGTTTCCAAAAGAAGAACATTAGCACAAATAAACCCCATATTTTCATATTTTGGAGGGTTTTGTATGAGGTTTCATCTGTTTCTTTTGCTCAAATGTTCAAAAAATAAGTCCTGTGATATGTGAAATAGCACATCAGGGAAAAAAAAAAACTTGTAGAAAAATGCTCAATGCATGCAGCACATTTCTTTGTACTAAATATCAAAGTAATAAATGTTAAGTACTACAAAACATAATTTTGAAAGAAGCAAAAATGATTATTACTCTACAGTAATGCATATATGTACCAATTAACTTGTAAATTTCACAAACTTCTCTCCAGATGTCTGAATTAAAATTTAAATAAAATTTCTACATATACTTTATCGAGATGAATGAAAAATCTGTATCAATATGAAAAATTAAAAACATAAGGAAAACTCATTTTTAAAAATAATCTCAAGAACAACATTTTCAATCTTAAAGTCTAATACTAGAAATCTATGCTATCACAGAGGAAGCATAATACTCACAACTCTTGTCTCCAGTGAATGCATATTTAAGGTGACCCACATTTAAAAAAAAAAATCAAACTTTGTATAATAAGGCTAACAATGTCCTAGAATTAAAACTTATTTAGAACTTAGGTATGTGAGACATTAAATATTAATTTTATATGTGCCGATGAATTCAATTTGGAAAATCAACATCAGAAATAGTTACTATTCATTAAATACCAGTTCAAAATACGGGAAAATGAAGAAAAGCAGCAGCAAAGTTAACATGACTTAAGACAGAGCTTTGAAAAATGTGAGTTTTAAACTTAAGAAAAAATTAGATGTAAAACCAAGGTAAAGACCTATTAAAAAACAAAACTGATTTCTGACAAGTCCACTAATGAAACACCAAAAAGGGAAACAAAGTGAAAGCACACTAGAGATGCTCATTAAAACTTCATGTCATAACCAATTTCTTATAAAGTTAATTTCCCCACAACTTAATATTCAAATTTCTTAACTACTAACTATTTAGAATCTTCAGGGGAAGAAAATGCAAAACTAAAAATTCTGTGTTTGTGAACTCTAACTAATGGCATGAATATGTTGAAGTATTTAGGGAAAATAATACTGATATCTGAAATCCATCCATACTGTTTTAAAATCCATCAAAACAGGGCTGGGGATGTGGCTCAAGCGGTAGCGCGCTCGCCTGGCGTGCGTGCGGCCCGGGTTCGATCCTCAGCACCACATACAAACAAAGATGTTGTGTCCGCCGAAAACTAAAAAATAAATATTAAAAAATT